TATTTTCTTTCTCTTATTTGTAATGCCAGTCAAAGACCATAATAAATAAATTTCTTTCATTAAACACACACACACACACACACACATTCTTACCTTCTCACTTGGAGCTGGAATTGAATGCTCAATTCAGGATTTTCAAGATGCTGAACAGTAAATCTTATGCCTGCAGAAAACTACAAATTGAAATCTATATGTTAAAACTATTAACATGTGACTAAACTGTGTATATATGTTAAGATTATATGTCTCAGATGACCAGAAGTTGCTCAAGTGAAGTCATGTTAGTTGCTTTTCAGCAGGCATTTCAACAGACAAGCTACAAAAAGGTACACTGTGGCAACTAATTCTACAGATCTATGTATGTACCTTCTGTCCTACACATCTACTAACCTTAAAAAGAAACCAGAGTTTTTAGTTCTGTCTTTCCCAAAGCAGTAAAATAATTCACACCTTGTCTATCTATTCTCTTTGTATTACAGTACTGACCCTAAGGTCAAATGTAAGCAACCAGAAATGTGTGTGTGTGTGTGTGTGCATGTGTGTAAGCACATGTGTGTGTATGTTTATATGATTACTGAAATGTATAAGATTACAGTGCTGTAGGCTTGAAAGCTGATGGGATTTTAATGTTTTTGCTCCCAAACTTGCAAAACCTCAGGTGGGAACATCAACTTTGGTGATTTCGTGAGATTGCTAGCCTTTAAATAAACTGTATTTATTTATTTAATTTATGAGGTCCTATGGATACGCAAAATAGTCTTATGTGCCATGGAATCCATAGGCACCAATTTCCTGGATGCACAGTATTGCTCAAAATCTTTCAATGATGGATTGGTGGTCCGTATATAGAAAGAGTCTGGCTACCTTAAATCCATGAAATGAACACTATATATTTTTTAGGTGTTTTACTGTAGACTGCCCAGAGTGCTTTGGCTGTTGGATGGCTTACAAATAAATGAATGAATAAATCTGACTGGATAAATGCAGCATAAAAAACCGCCATATCTGTACTGCCCAACTCTGCATAGCAAATGTCCCCTGCAGATTTAATAGCATATTTATAATATCTACTTGTGGCAGCTGAGTGTAGAGTTTTCTGGTTCCCTGAGATCCACTGTAGCAGACATGTACAATTCTGGTGATCTATGAAAGCCCTCTTTACATTAACCTTACTTTAATGCTTTATTTAAACATAAAATTGTACTCTTGATGTATGTGTTAATGAGCAGCAGATGGTGCCTCTGGGTGGCAATGGGTTTTAATGATGGCTTTTAGTCCTTGACACTGCTAGCAATAATGGGCAAATGAGGTTCACATATGCCAACAATAAAACTCCACAGAGGTCAATGGATTTTATCTGTGTAAAGTAGTAGGACAGTTTTTCTGAAGAAAGTGAGAGAGAATGAGGGAAAGCAAGCAAGCAAGCCAGCCAGCCCTTAGAATGCTTTCATGCGATGTTACCTCACAAGTTCTTTCATTTTTAATGTACAGATAGTCCTCAGGTTACATCCATTTGTTCAGCGACCATTCAAAGTTATGGCAGGGCTGAACAAGTGGTAGTTACGACCGGTCCTCGGAGTTATGGCCATCGCAGTGTCCACATGATCACAATTTCCAATGTTCTCTGCAGGCTTCCCACAAACAAAGTCAATGGGGAAGCTGGCAGGAAGTCAGAAGTCATGGTCATGTGAGGTCCTCGCTTAACAATCTGTGTGGTCCTTGCTTAATGACGGCAACTGGGAGTGCTGGAACTGTCATCACTAAGTGACACAGTGATGTGATGTCGCACTTTACGACCACTTTACTTAGCGACAGAAATTTCGGTCCCAATTGCCATTGTAAGCTGAGGACTACCTGTATAATGAAATGAGATAGAATTTATTTGCATTGCCTATATAGCAATTCAAACAACAATAGAATATTTTAAAGTTTAGTATGTCAAAAAGGGCAGAAAGATGTCCTTGATGCTTTAACTATGCCCATTAAAACTAGAATTATTTTAATATATATAAAAAAGATACAACTACAATCCACAAGCAGAAACTGTTGTTTGATACTGAATTCTTTAAGAAGTAACATCATTTATTAAACGTTGGTGTTTAATAAAATGTTTTCAGCTGCATGACAAATGGTTGAGAGTCTAATGACAACTTTGGCTTCAAGGTGACCGTGGTAAGCAAAACCATAATCAGACCCAACTGTCATATATCCTCACAATACAAATATAAAACAAATAAGATCAGTAAATTGGGAAATTTGCATGATATTTGTGCCACTTTATATGATTCTCCGCTCTCAGTTCTAGTTGCATATAGCTATAACTACAAGTACTTTGAATAACTGTATCAGTACAAACTAGTACGTGTCCACTCAGAAGTACGCTTAGTGATACTTTCAGGTATATGACAGGGGTGGAGCATGACAACATACACCTAACTCTGGAGAAACCACGTCTATTGAATTCAGTGGATTTACTCCCAGGCAATCTATCAGATTGCAACCAAAATCTCAGTGAAAACTATGAAACACTTGCATGCTTAAGCCCTTAAATTTAATTAATCTTATGTGGTTGCTACAAGTTGACAACAACTTGATGCCACAAAATCATTAATCGCAGCAGCTGGAAAGTGTCTGGGGTCACAAATAAGCTCACCAGTGTGTTTTATCTTTTTAAATATATAGTATAATGTTGTCTCCTGTTCAACTATCAATTTCACGTCTGCAGATTTTTTTAAAAGCTATCATTCACTGACATAAATTCCCCTAATTTTGGTAGTTTTTCATTAATTCTCCAAATAATTTAATTTACTAAAATCAACAAATATTTTTGGTTTTGCCTTACATTTGTTCCAGCTGCCATGGGGTTTCCAAGGTCGCAAATCACCGTTCTAGTTTCATTTTCCATCTTATAATCACAGCTCAGCACACGTAGTGCCTGTAACCAAAGAACACCAACATGGAGGTGAAAGGTCAGTCCAGAATGTATCCTGTTGGAAAAATGAATGGCTTTCAGATAGCAAGAGTGCTGCTGATTTCAAACACCTGCACAGAAGTCCAGTAACTCATTCATGAATAAGGCAAATTTGACATTACAAAGGAACAAACCAGAGATCTGCCCAAATTTTAACAGTGCTGAAAGACATTTTGCCCCTGGTAGTATTTGTTTCCTTACTACTGGTACAAAAGGAACATGGAGAGATAACTGGTATTACATTTCACTATATCTCAAGCATGCTAGGTTGGGAAATGAAATTAATAAAGCTTTCTTGCCCTAATATTCTGACAGCAGAATTGGAATTCAGGATAAAATACGATTTTGCAGATCTCAGTAGTTTAATTTTTTGTGGTGATGTTTATGTTGGAAAGCTGCTTTATCATAAAAATAAAACAGCATATAGCCATCAAACAAAGCAAAAGTCAATACAAAACTTCTATAAAACTTAAAAGGCGAATGCTGCCATAACCTTTAAATTGACACTTGTACGGAGATATAAGACTGGGTGAGAAATTTGTTCAGTTTCTGTTTAATGAAAACTTATTTATTAGCATTTTCTGAACCTACAGATGAACATTAATGGGATTAGACACTCATATCTACACAAAATGTGTATTGTAGGAAAAAAATGCTTGCAAAAGGGAAAGTTAAGGGAAAGTATATATACAAATATTTACATTAGAAGGTAAGGACTTAAATGAACATTTATTTTTATCTGAACCTGATGTAGTAATGGGATTGAAGAAATTAAATCTGGAAAAATGGGAAAATGAACTTGCCAAATTGGCTCATCCCCTACATAAATAGTGTATCTCAAATTAAATACATGTGAACTTAGGGTATTAATATTAGGGATACATCTAGCACAAAATGTATAGTAAATAGCTATTATGATAGCATCTAGACAATGGCTGAAAAGTCAGGGCCACACATGTTTCTGTGTTTAGCCTAAGTACTGACAAAAAACCAATTCCAAAATAGTTTGAAATGTTGATGACTTTTCCCTCCCTGGTAAATACAGTGCTAACTTTTTGTGTATTATCTTAGGGCTTGCTCCCTATCTGGGTCATCTGAATAAATACAATGAAATAGGAGATGGGCAGGAGGAGAAGCACAGGAAGCTGTAAGAAACCAGAATTTACATAAAATAGCCTTCAACGAAACAAAAACATTGTTGTCTTTTTTTCTTTAGCATAATTCACTGGAGAAATAACAACATTTAAAAATGTATACAAAATGCTTTTAAAAATCATAATGTGGTTGGAATGAACTGCTATGCATGTTGCTAAGCAAAGGCATCTTTTGCAACCTGATGCCTTCCAGATGTATTTAATGATCATTCCCCAACGTTTTACAAATGTTACAGCCAGTGGGGTAAGCTAATTATTCCAGATGGGCGAGAAACCTGCTGGACACCAAAAAAGGTATCTGTGCATAGTTATGTCCTGAAATACTATGCTGAAGACTTCAGCTCTATATAACCTGAGATATGACCTAAAATGGTAGCTCATAATTAGACACTCTGGGCTATATTAGCACTCTGAAGCAAACCTAGGCTGCTAATATTAATGCTGTTCTTAATCAACTGATATTAATGCTGTTCATGAATAAACTGATAAGGAACTGCAGCATTCTTAAAACAACAGTCTAATAATAAATGATCTAAATATTCTGCTGCCATTAAAAAAAACCTGTGGTTTGAAGTCATGTCAGGTTGCAGAACTGTGCACATGCATTTGGAAAGAAAGACTTAGTCTAAGAAAAGGGGGAAATAGTCCCATGTTTGGCTGGCAATTCTACTGATTACACTGGCATATCTAGAAAAACGTCCAATACCTATAACACCTGGAAAGCTTTGTGTGCTTTTATAGTTTCTTATTTGTAATTGTTTTTATGTATTTATTCTTTTTAATTGTTGTATGCCACCCAGAGTCACTTTGTGTGAGATGGGTGGCTATATAAATACAATTAAAAAAAAAAAGCAAACTGTTTTGATTTTGTTTTGTTTTGTTTTAATAGCAACACATTTTACAGCTCTGAACAGTAGCAAAGCCTGACCAATTAGCACCAGAGTGATCTGGAATTGTTTCAAGTGGAAACCACTGAAAAGTGGGTAAAAAGGGGACGACCGAGAAAAATGACTGGATTAATTAATCAAGTTGTAAACTTTACATCTGGCAAAAAGGCTTTCATAAGAACGCTTAATCACGGATCAATTTGTATTTCCCCAAAGATCAGTGAACTGAGGGTTTGCTGTTTTAGTTTCATTGTCTTCCAAAAATATTACTCATTTGTCAATAATATTAGCTGGAGGGAAGATGAAAGATTTTGCAACAAATAGTTTCAGTGCCAATCTGGAATGTTAATTTAGGTTAAATATTGGGGGCTAGCAAGTGAGTTTTGGATATACAAGGTTAGAGATTTCAAACTCAAATAAATGGTCTAGGAGACCAAATTTGATGTCCATCAGTTGCTTACTAAACCTGTTTATTTAAAGGAACCCATACCATCCCATCCCACAGATTTCAAGAAATAATTACAGGAACTTTGGAAAGCTACAAGCTCTTAAATTCTCACAGAGTCAAAAGGATAACCAGTAAGTACTGTGGAAACATATGACTGTTTTGCAGAAACCAAGTACTTCCTCCCACATACAGCCAGCTATCAAACTATACAATTGGGGAAGCCACAAAAGGTTAGAGCATGCTCATCATTTTATTATATCTATCTCAAAAATCTATTAAATGAGAGGATAAATAATCAAATACACCCAGTTGCACAAAGTCAGCATATTTTAAGAAAATGGGTTTACAAACACAAGGCAAAGCCTTTTTTACCTTAAAATTGAAACATTTAATAGCATTACAGTAGTTCCAATCCTGTCTGTTGTAAAACAGCCCCCCCCCATAGTTTTATATCAATAAAAAAAGTTTAGATTCAGTTGAATTAACTTTTCAGAATGTTATTTCCAACACAATAAAAATTTCTTTTTTTAAGAAAGAAAATGATATTGGCACATTCTGTTTTCCTTTTTGGGGTATCATGGTTTGAACTATTCAAAATGAGGTTCATTATGTATCAATTTTCAACCATTTGTAGTGTAATAAAATAATATATTCCTCTTGCCCAGTGGTGAATACATGAACCATTTGTGCACCCAGGGGATAGAATTTCACTTGGCTCTTTCAAAAGCACCTCTGGTTTATACTTTTTAAGTAAAATGTGCTACATCTACATCAGTTCATGCTATACCTGCCCTGCTGAACGATGCTACTGAGAAGTTTTCATAACCCACTTCCCACAACCTCAGCCTTCTGTTAAAGATTTATATTTTCAAATATCTGGGCCACATTTTAGGGTCGTGTGTACCTTCAGTTCAAAGATTAAATACCAAAGTGATTCAGTTGAATCACCTTTTCAAATCTGAACTGCCAAAATAATTTTACACACTAAAGCAGGCGCTTTGAAATAATGAGAGGATCTGATACACATTTTTATTCAATTGAACTGAATCTTCAGATTGAACTGATGATTTGAATCAATCATACAAATTAAATTGCAAATGTGAATCAAACCAATTATTGAAATTAAATTCTACTATATATTGACTGAATTGATATAGATCAGTTTAAAACCCACATGCAACAGGACAGTTGTTGGGTTCCCCCCACGCCACCCCCAAATGTTATATTTTTGTGCAGATTTTGGTTATGCAGTCTCCAGTGGAGAGAAAAAAACCCGAAATGACTGCTGGCCATTACCTTGTTATTCCGCTCAACACCTGTGTAGTCTGCTTCTGGGGGTATTTTTATATGCAGCTCAGCTTCATAGGCACCTTCTCCTTCATTTCTTGAATTGACTGTAAGCATGAGATAGTTTTCTTCCCCAATTACAATCTGATCCCTATCTCTATAAAAAAAAGTTTTGCAAAAGAGTTTCAAACAGAGGTTAGAACTATTTCTGAGCAGATTGTGATCTAAAACACCAGTTGTATTCCACGGATCAATCCGACTGTGTTACTACTCCACCCATAACCTGAAAAATCCCATTCAAAATGGACTCTTTCATCTGCAATACATAACTTGCCTTGTCAAATAAACATTTCAAGATAATGTTCCACACTGAGTTATGCAATGTGTGCCCAAAGTTCCCCCATATATCTTCCTTAGTGCTCTGTAGCCTATCTGTCTCTTCCAGATGTGAAAAATGATGCTTAAATGAAAATACTCAGGTAGCAAGCTGGTATACTGGAAAGGGAGGCATCAATCTCTAGAATCATATTTACTTGCAAGAAAGTCTTTGGGGTGCATATAACTCCCAGAAGATGTTAAAAGGCATTCTGGGGTGCTAGATCACTTCTAGTAAATGGTGCTTTGTGATTAGCCATTGGAGTAATTGGAGTACCTTATAAGTAGGCAAGTCTTCCCTGAAAGCCATTATCTAAATCTGCCCCTTGCATGATCTCAAAATGCTACATCTCCTCCCTTCCATCTCCTCCTCCTGCCCAGATCTGATATGTCCTGTATTTAGTCATTGGATGGAACTATACTGAGAGTCCCCAGAAAAAAAGAGTGAATTAATTTGACTACAAATCATAACAAAATAGGTTTGAGTGCCAGATCCTGTCACAGATGGTGCCACAATGAAGATGGCACAAGTGAGTGAAAAGGTACTCCTGGGGATTGTAAAACCCAGGGTGGTTAATATAGGAGAATGCAGTCTTTGAAATCACCCTTCGAGTCACCCTCTGGGGGAGATGGGCAGCATATAAATTTAATAATAAATAAATAAATAAATAGTTGTTAGCAGCAGCATGTGTATGTGTGTGGTGGTAGAGTCAAAAAAGTGACTGTGATTGCATGGTCATGGCCTCTATTTTGATTATTATTATTATTTTACAATTGCAACCCTCTCTCCCTGCCCCCCGCCGCCCCAAGGCTATTAGCTATGAATGCTGCTGACCTAAGCTTTTTGAAGGAAAGGCCACATATAATGAAATGAAATAAATAATAAACAGAAGCAAACAGTTCCTGGGAATAGCAAGGTAAAGATGCATTCAAACAGTGGAAACAGTTACTGGAATATAACTGATTGTACAATGCCATGCATCTCTACAGAATGGTTCTGAAGCCTATCTGGGTCTTCCAATCCATTATTGTGCGAGTAGGCTATATGGTATGAGGCTAGAATTGCAGCAACATAGGCCAATGCTTTCCTGTAACCATTCCTGTGACAAATTCTGAATGAAAGTAAATACATGCAGCTTTGCTCTAATGAAGCAAAGTGTTTACTCTTTTGCTTAAATAAACAAGGTTTGAAGAAGCAAAAACATACAGAGGGGATTTGGATTTTGTAACTGCAACAAACCTTTGATGCTGTACATTTGACAAATTGCAAAAAGTAAACTGAAGACTAAAGTTAGCTCAACATGCAGCACTTAAAATTGATTTCTAATTGCAGGCATGCCCTCTCCTACTACTCTGTTATTGTATTTTATACCCCCACACACACACTTTTTAACGAACACCTTTATTCCATTAAGTACAATACGCATGTTTACTTGTTCCAACTTACGGCATAACGGAAAGTCTCAAGTCAGGAATGCACACGTTGTCTTCTCCGCAGTCCACAAGAATGTATGCCTAAATTGTCCAAAACATGCATTGCTCATGTTAGGGCTGTTTGGCAGGAATTCCAGCCATTTCCTTTCCTTCATTTTTGTTTCTTTGATAGCCATTAAAAATATCTTCCCAAAAAGATTTTGATCCTTCCAAACCCTGATCTCAATACAACAAGCCACACTCAGTTACTTATATGTGTAAAGCCAGGTTATGTTTTGCATTTTGGGTGTGTATACATATTTTTTCCATTCCAAGGCAAGGAATATGCTCTCACATCTTGTTAATGTTAGCTAGGACTACAAGAATGAGAACTTTTTGAAAATGCAGTTGGAAGAGGGTAACAAATTTAAGGTTAGTCTGGTTCAATTAACTCACCACAACTAATTTGGCTGTCGTTGCTAACGGAATGCTGAAACTGCTGAGTAGACCCATCTTATAGGATAGACTTCATAACATAATAGAATTTGCATCCAAAGACCCATACCTGTTCCTCCAGTCTGTTTTCTTGGTAGTAGTTCAATACTGGGTTCACAAGTAATCCATCTGAAAATGTGGATTCATCCAGTCTATAGTTCAAGCTAATGTTGATTGGAGACAATTTATCTCTAAATTCAGTTTCATCCTGCAGGATGAATTAAATTATAGGAAGCTAAATTTTGATATATATGCATCATCATACTTCATGAATGTACAAAAGAATTTTTTGATCTTTATTTCAGTAATAAAATAATTAATATTCCAGTCCTATGATTATTTAGATGTTGAGATGACTTTCATTGGAATGCACTTTTTCACTACAAATAAATATGCATATGATCAGAGGCTAGGACTTTTAAAAAGACAAAGAACAAGTTATTAATCAAAGCTTCTATGACACTTTGCCTCTGTGGATTCATACTTAAGTAGCTAGCTAAATTTATTTCAGAAGTGATACAATGGTAAAAATATTGGACTGGGAGATCCAGATTCAAATCCACACTGAATTATGAAGCTCATTAGACAGCTTCATATCAGCCACTATCTCAACGTAACCTAGCTTGTGGAATTGTGCAGAAAAAATATGTGTAGGAACCTGCATGTTCCCTCAGTTCCTGGAGGAAAAAGGAAGGAAGGAAGGAAGGAAGGAAGGAAGGAAGGAAGGAAGGAAGGAAGGAAGGA